TTATATGACGTCTCCAAGCAAATAAATACACGTCCATCCCAGAAGCTGATCCACTTGAGCGGATTAGATGTTCGACGTATATATATGGTGAAGCATGCATAGTACGCAAGGAGTCCCTTCCCTTCGTTTCGTAACAGGGATCGAAGGATAAATGATAGCTCACTCAACTGGAGGATAATGGTGGGGGGTCTTATGGTGCAGGAAATTTGTCCCTTTCCAGGAGATGGAAGGAAGTCTCCAAAAAAAAAAGTCGCATAATACTCTGACCGCACTCCGGTACGGGGAATCGAACCCCGAGCTGCCGCGCACACGTGCGAATTCTGGAATGAAAGGCGGCAATGTTAGCCGTTACACCATACCGGATGATTACTGCTACATGTATGTAGCCAAGCCAGCAAGTGAATTTAGAATGTACCTTCGACTTGGATATGGCGACACGACACGCTGAGTTAAGGTGATCTGAGAGGCGAGATGCCAAAAAGGATTACGGATTACCGAGGAGCAACGCAGGGACCTCAGCCTATACCGTGAATTCTGATACCGAGAGAGAGCGGAGTAGGAGACCAAAAAGGACGGATGTCGTTGGAACCCGTCGTTTAATGCGGTTCACATAAAAGGAATAAAAAATAAAAAATAAACAAAATTTTAATCCCGCCTCACCTCACCTCACCCCACTCCCACTCCCAACCCGCACCTCACCTCACCCCCTCCTCCTCACCTCCTCAACTCAATCTAATCTCCCTAATAAAAACCGACGCACCAAACGCCAACGCAGCCATCCAAACCGTAAAACTAAAACTCGCCTGTACAGCTTCGTAATAAGCCTCTCTTACGATGAGCTTTGTTTGGGGGGGGAGGGTGTTGATGTATTCGAGGGATTCGCGTACTCGGAGGATTATCTATTCGGGGAGGGGAGGGGTGGGAGGTGAGTGAGAAGGGGATGGATATGAGTGAAGGGAAGGGAAGGGAAGGGGGGATGGGAAGGGGGGAAGGGGATGGGGATGGGGATGGGGACGTACCTCTTCGGCGTTATCCCCAGAGAGATGATGGCGGAGGTAGGTACGGAGGGTTTCTTGAACGA